CTTGATCCATGCCCATCTTGGCTGATTAGGGACTGTCCAGATGTCGCGCGGACCCCCCTGGTTGAAATCATCAACTTGTCTCTTGACACGGGGACATTCCCAGGGGAACTGAAGGAAGTACTGGTGTGTCCACTCTTAAAGAAAACTTCACTAGATCCCTTAGACCTATCTAATTACTGCCCAGTTTCAAATCTTCCATATCTGGGTAAGGTAATTGAGAGAGCGGTTGCTGAACAGCTTGGTAGGTTTCTGGAGGAAACATCAACTTTAGATCCATTTCAGTCCGATTTCCGTCCTGGTTTTGGGACCGAGACGGCTCTGGTTGCCCTCACAGATGATCTCCGTAGACAACTGGATCGAGGCGGGTCAGGACTGCTGATCCTTTTAGATTTGTCAGCAGCCTTTGACATGGTCGATCATGATCTTCTGGACCACCACCTCGCAGACTTGGGGATACAGGGCATAGCCCGTAACTGGCTATGCTCTTTTATCTCTGGTCGGGGACTGAGGGTGGCACTAGGGAGGGAAATGTCGTCGCGCCACTCCTTGGTGTGTAGAGTACCGCAGGGTGCAATCCTCTCCCCGATGCTTTTTAACATCTTTATGCGCCCCCTTGCCCAGATTGTCCAGAGCTTTGGGCTGGGCTGTCACCAATATGCTGATGACACTCAGCTCTATCTGCTGATGGATGGCCACACCGACTCGGCCCCGAACACACTGACCAGATGCTTGGAAGCTGTGGCTGGATGGTTTCATGGGAGCCAATTGAAACTAAATCCTTCGAAGACAGAGGTCCTATGGCTGGGTCGGGATGGCATGGGGATGAGGGACCAACTCCCTTCTCTGGCGGGGGTCCAATTAGTGCCATTGCCTTCCGTTAAGAGTTTGAGTGTAATCCTTGACGCCTCCCTTTCCATGGAGGCGCAAGTTACAGCAACAGCCAAGGCAACATTTTTCCACCTTCGCCGCATCAAGCCGTTAGTCCCTTACCTTTCCCGCCCCGACCTGGCCACAGTGATCCATGCGACGGTCATCTCCAGGCTTGACTACTGTAATTCGCTCTATGCGGGGCTGCCCTTGAAGCTGTCCCAGAAACTCCAGCGGATGCAGAATGCTGCAGCGAGGCTCCTCACGGGGTCTCTGCCATGGGAGCATATTCACCCAGTGCTTTTCAAGCTGCACTGGCTCCCGGTGGAGTACAGGGTCAGATTTAAGGTGCTGCTTTTGACCTTTAAAGCTCTTCACGGCCTAGGACCCTCGTACCCACGGGACCGCCTCTCCCGGTATGCCCCACGGAGAGCCTCAAGGTCCACAAATAGCAACACCCTAGTGGTCCCGGGCCCTAAGGAAGTTAGATTAGCCTCAACCAAAGCCAGGGCCTTTTCAACTCTGGCTCCGGCCTGCTGGAACACTCTGCCTCGTGAGACCAGGGCCCTGCATGATTTGATTTCTTTCCGCAGGGCCTGTAAGACACAGTTGTTCCATCTGGCCTTTGGCTTGGAGCCAATTTGATTCCCTCCCTCTCTTTCTTTTTTATTTTCCTTCTCCTGTGATGAGGCTACATTTTAATATTTTAATGTTTCAATATTTTAATGTTGTATTTTAATTTTGTTTTTAAGTTGTAATGATTCAACTTGTTTTTACTATTGCTTGTAAGCCGCCCTGAGCCCGTCCTTGGCCGGGGAGGGTGGGGTATAAATAAAAAATTATTATTATTATTAATGTTCCAACTAGTAGTCCTGTCGCCTAATATGCAAGTTCTACTCCCCAAGTTGCTCAACAGCTATAGGTCATATATGTTACCACCCCTATCCTAATCTGAACATTGAAAACTGATGGAATCATATAATAGTAGAGTTGGAAGGGACCCCAAGAGCCAACTAGTCCAACCCTGCAATGCAGGAATTTCAGCTAAGCATCCATGACAGATGGCCATCCAACCTCTGATTAAAAACCTCCGAGGAAGGAGAGTCTACAACCTCCCAAAGGAGACCGTTCCACTGTTGAGCAGCTCGCCCTGTCAGAAAGTTCTTCCTGATGTTGAGTCAGAATCTTTCTTCTAACTTGAAGCCACTGGTTCAGGCCCTACCCTGCAGAGAGGGGGAAATAAGCTGGCTACATCTTCCATGTGGCAGCCCTTTAGGTATGTAGAGAAGGGTATTGTATCTCCTCTCAGCCTCCTCTTTTCCAAGCTAAAAATACCCAGTTTCTTCAACCATTCCTCATAAGGCTTCTAGACCTTTGATCATCTTGGTCACCCTTCTCTGAACACTTTCAAGATTATCAATCATGTTTCTTAAACAGGGGTGCCCAGAACAGGACACAGTATTCCAGGTATGGTCTGAACAAGGCAGAATAGATGACTATTAATTCCCTGTATCTGGACACTAGACTTCTCTTGATGCAGCCTAGAATAGCATTAGCTAGTTTTGCTGCTGCAGCACACTGTTGAATTATGCTAAGCTTGTGGACCACCAAGACCCCTAGATCCTTTTCACATGTCTTACTGGCAAGCCAAGTATTTCCTGTCTTATATTTGTAAAGTTGGTTATTCCTGCCTAAGTGCAGAACCTGACAGTTGCCCGTATTTTGTTAGTTTGGACGCAGTTCTCCAATCTGTTAAGGTCATCTTGAATCCCAATTGTGCCTTCTGCAGCATTAGCTCCCCCTCCAGGGTTGGTGTCATCTGCCAATTCGATGAGCATCCCCATAATTCCATCATCCAAGTCATACATAAAGACGTTGAACAACAAACGACCCAGGACAGAACCCTGTGGCACCCCACTTGTCACTTTTTTCCAGGATGATAAGGAACCATTAACGGGCACTCTTTGGGTTCAGTCAGTCAACCAGCTAGCAACCCACCTAAAGGTAAAGTAAAAAAAGGTAAAGAACCCCTGGACAGTTAAGTCCACTCAAAGGCGATTATGGGGTTACGGCGCTCATCTCGCGTTCACGTTGCGGGAGCCACCATTTATCCACAGACAGTTTTCCAGGTCATGTGGCCAGCAGGACTAAACCGCTTCTGGTGTGACATAATCTAGGGTGCACGGAAACGCCATTTACATTCCTGCCACAGCAGTACCCATTTATCTACTTGCACTGGCATGCTTTCAAACTGCTCGTCCAACCCACATTTTACCAGTTTCTCTGCTAGTCTATCACAGGGGACTTGGTCAAAAGCCTTACCTTCTCCCTGCAGCTGTTGGCTACTGTGTACCCTAATCCCTCGTGATTTGTCCTTCCTTCCATTTCGTATACATGCCCTTCTTAAATCTCAGCTCACCTGTAAGCTGCTTATGCAGCCACACAAGTTTCTTTAGATGCCTCCTACTCTTCTTTCTTGTTGGATTTGTCTGCCTTTGTACCTTCAATATTTCACCTTTCAGAAATTCCCATCCATCTTGAACTCCCTTCTCTTTTAAGTATTTCTGACCCTGGGATCTCACTCAGTAACTCCCTAAGCTTTATGAAATTGGTCTTCTTAAAGTCTGACTATACTCTGCTTTCCCTTCCTTCTAGATCATGAAACCCAGGAGGACAAGATCACATCCTCCCAAGTTTCCCAGTATTTTAACTTGGTCAATCAGTTGCGTCGTGTTAAGGACCAGAACCAAAAGAGCAGGCAGCTGCCTCATACTTTGAGGAGCCGTGTGGACGTTTTATTGCTTATTCACCCAAGGCTCACTGATGGACCTACCAATGATAGTGACTTACTTGGACCCTAACACACATTGTAACAGAGCTCAGTCTCCTGCCTATCCAGTGTTGGAAACAGATATGGAAGCTAGGAGCTCAGTGGCACCTTAAACCTAGGCTATGGGCACAACAGAATGTCTAGGCACACTTTTTTAAATAACAAAAATAGAATATTACGTTCGTTTATCACAGTCTATTGCTTCTCCTGCTCACCTCCCTAATATTAAGCGGGTCTCTTCTCCAATCTTCATGTGGGGAGGCAGAAAAAGGTCCTCCTTTCCTTCCACTCTGCAGTTTTAATCTGAAATCTTAGGCGAAGTATTGAACCCAGAGCTCAGAAACTGCTCGCGCTAATGAAATTCCCTGTCACAAAATGCGCCTAGAACAATGGGAGCTTCGAACACTGTGCTATCCCATATCAAAACTACCACCAAGGCCAACCTGCATCCTAAACGGCTCACCATACTCCAGACACAAATTCATTATAAGCCCTCAATATTATGCCCATGTACTTCATCAGGACTCTTCCTTTACTGTGCCGTTTCTCCAACGTCACTCCAGCAGGTGCCAAAAATCCTGTTGGCCAGGTTGACTCATTTTTCTATTTTGCATTCTCATTTTGTATTTCTTATGTTGTGAGCTGCCCTTGATCTTTGAAGGAAGGGTGGCATACAAATTTAATAAATAAATTTCTATACATCTTTTTGTATCTTCTCATTCACATTCCCTTTGATTTTATTCATTTGTTCTGCTTCCCTAAATATGGAGACCACCAATAAATAAATATAGATATTTAAAATGTCTCTCTCTGTGTGTGTTCATTTGTTTGTTTGCTTGCTAGCTTGCTTAAAAGTATTGCAATATGCTTTTAGTTATTTTGTTAACAAAGTGACGAATACGTTTAATAAAAAGAACAAATAAATCAAGAAAGAACAAACACATCCACAAACTCCCCTTTTCATATTTGCTCATTGGTGGCAGGCAATCAAGGATATCCAGGCCAACTTGAGGCCTCCCCGTATGAGATACCTTTCATAACTGCGTCCACCTTCTTACCTGACTGCACCCAATTGACTGTCGGTCTGGGCGGCTACACAAAGTTCTCCTCGCACATCTCCTGGCTGCACCAGTAACGTCTCTTCAGTCAGCTCTGTCCCATCCTTTGGTACCTCCCCCTAAACTGGCTGTGGCAATGGCCAAATTTGCGTCACCCCTTCAACCCCACAACAGGAGCCCCGTGGTGAAACCCAGCTCCAAGCCAGCCAGCCCCACCACTGTGAAGGTAGGTGCCAGATTCTCACCTGAAGATATCTCCGCTGGAAGATTCTGCGTCGGAGGTCTTGCATCTTCCTTCTGAAGCCATGGCACGGTGAACAAGCTTGAGCTGAACAAGTCCTCTTTACTACCTGAAGCCTCCGATCTTTCCACGCAGGCTGAAATATCAAGCAAAGGTGGTTTAGTAGCCATTCTACTAGATTTGGAAGGTTTCTTGCTCGCTACCCACTCTGTGGCCTCCACCGGACCTCATGTCTGGGCCTCCCTCCTCTTTGGAAGAAGAATCCTGAGGCTGTTTGGTGGGCTGCTTTTGAGCTTGGTTTCCTTGCCTCCTGCTCCCTTCTCAAGATGCCATCGCAATCCCTCTGCAATCCCTCTACTATGCACGTAACTGCAGGAGGGGGCATACACAGATCCTAATCCGACCCACAAACTGGATAATTACACATTAACCTGAGTTGCATGAAGAGCAACTGCCCTCTCTCACATCTTAGTTTTATGTCAGGGTTTTGTACGCAGGTACCTAGCTGTTCCAAGAATTCCTACATTACAGTCCTGGCCCTAAACCTGGGTAGCTAATTTCTGGCACTCCAGAGGTTGCTGGACTTCAAGTCCCAACAGCCCTGGCCAGCAAGGCTAAGAAGCGAGGATGATGGGAGTTGCAATTGAGCATCATCAGGGGAGGCCAGCTTAGCCAGCCACCCTCCTTGCCCAAATATCTTAGGTCACCAATAGTCAAGAAATCTGCTCCTTTCCTTTCAGAAAGGAACCCTTGTGCTCCCAAAATCTGTGCCACCTGAATTCAAGTCCCTTTAGCAGTTGCATACAGAGCTTCACAGCAGCCTGCTGGATTCGCTGCGCCTTTTTGTTCATGATAAACCACATTAATACCACTTAAAAACTCCTGTCCAACCCCAATACTTTCTAAATTTTGTATCATAAAACTCCACGACACGTTGTCAAAGGCCTTCTCCGCATCAATAAACATTAACATTGCTTTACAATTTTTCTTGTTTCTAACTTTTCCAAAATATCAACTATATTCCTAATATTATCTTTCATATAGTTTTTGCCTATAGTTTTTGTCATCTTGATCTTGTTTTGGAATCAGGGTTATATAAGCTTCCTTCCAGGTTTCGGGTGCTTTGGCCCCTCCTATTACCTTATTGTAAACTTCTACCAATGACAGAATAAGCCAATCTTTCATAGTCTTATAGTATTTTGCTGACAATCCATCTGGTCCTGAGGCTTTGCCTAGTTGCATTGAATTTATTGCATTTTCGACCTCCTGCCATGTAATTAAACCATTTAGTAGAATCCTTTTACCTTCAGGAATCTTCTGCAAGCCATTAGTTTTAATAAACTGCTCAATTTTGACCTTCGTCTTCTTTACCATTTTTATACATTTGTTTGTAATACTTCTGGAAACATCTTATCTCCACAGGGGTCTCCACAGACTTTCCTTCTGATACAGTATTTGTAATAGTACTTTGTTTCTGTCTTTTTTTTAACTGCCAAGCTCAGAGTTTCCCATATTTATATGAATATTCAAAATTCATTTGTCTCATCAGTCTTAATTTCCATTCTATTTCTTGGTTTATAATCTGTGAATACTGGATCTGTAAGGCTTTAATTTTCTTTTGTATCTGCAAATTCGTTGGATTACTTCTAAGGTTCTTCTCTTTCTTTTAATTGGTCCAAAATTTTATCTTTCTTTTCATTTTGTATCTTTCTCTTAAGTGAATTTTGTTGAATGAGGAACCCTCTCGTTACTACTTTACTTGCGTCTCAAATGACTCTTTTTTCCATTCCAAAAGTCATAGTCATCTCAAAATAGTCTTTTAGAGTCTTTTGGGCCTTATTGATTATTTGCCCATTCCTCAACAAATAATCATTCATCCTCCATCTGAAAGATCCCTGTAAAAACAATTTCACTTCCATAAATACTGCATAGTGATCTGAACAGGTTTTGGGGCAAATTTCCATTTTTGTTACTCTGGGAACCAAGTCTCTGGATATCTATAGTTGATTCTCAAAAATGATCGATTTGCATCTGAATAGAATGTGAAGTCTTTTAATTTGGATTTCTAATTCTTCGTATGCCTGACAAATCAAATTTATCTGTTATGTCAAAAAATGTCTTCGGTAGTCTGCCAGCATTCAGTATTTTTTGTCTCTGAGTCCTGCTCATTAGAGTTGATGCAACTCCATTCAGATATCTCATTAGAATTAATATATAATCCAAGTAGTCCAGAAGCTTTGTTTCCACATTCTTAAAAAATTCCGCTTTGACATCATGAGGTGCATAGATTCCCAATAGATGTTTTTTGCCTTGTGCTGCAATTTCTATTGCTATGTATCTTCCCTCCTCATGTTTTAAAATCAATGTTGGATTCCATTTTTCTTTAACATAAAACACCACTCCTCTTTTTTTAACTTTATCTGAGGAAATGAATTCTGGACCAAGTTTCTTATTCAAAAGAATTTTTCTATGTTGTCTTTTGATGTGTGTTTCACGTAAACAAATTACATCCAAATTCTGCTTTGACAAAACATGGTAAATCTGACTCCTTTTTTGTGGAGTTTAAACCATTGACATTCCAAGAGTAAATTCTCAAAGCCATCTTAATCAGTTAGAGTGCTGCTGCCCCTGCCAGCTGTGGGCTTTCCAACCCATGTTCAACTGAGTGCTTTTGCAGAAACCTATCCTTCTCTCCAACAGTCTTAATTCTTTGTTTCCTTCCCTCAGATTTGAAGAAAAGGCACTCCGGGAATACTCACCTATACATACAGTGGTGCCCCGCAAGACGAATGCCTCGCAAGACGAAAAACCCGCTAGACGAAAGGGTTTTCCGTTTTTGAGTTGCTTCGCAAGACGAATTTCCCTATGGGCTTGCTTCGCAAGACGAAAACGTCTTGCGAGTCTTGCGATTTTTTTCGCTTTCCCCCCTTTTTCTAAGCCACTAAGCCGCTAATAGCCTTTCAGCCGCTAAGCCTTTAATAGCCGCTAAGCCGCTAATAGCGCTAAGCCGCTAATAGGGTTGCTTCGCAAAGACGAAAAAACCGCTAGCCGAAGAGACTCACGGAACGGATTATTTTCGTCTTGCGAGGCACCACTGTATATATTTTTCCTTCTCGGGTGGTTGCCAAATCTGTATAATTGGATCTCAATTCAAAAAATGTTTAGGAAACTCCTTAAAAAGGACAATTGCTTTATCCTGAATTTTTAAACCTTTTTTGTAATGCAGGCCCAAAATAATATCTCTTTGTTCTTTAGGCTTGAAGACCACAATTCAATCGTAGATAATTTTTGAATCTTTTTAGAACCAAATCTGTAGACCTTTTCTATCCAAGAGTTAACTTCATCTTTTTTCAAGTCCCACCACACCACAAATTGATCTATCATCCACTCGCTGAGCCGATCCTGTTTCAGTTGAGGTACCCCTCTCAATCGTAGCTGAGATTCCAGCTCTCTCATCTGAAGAAATGTGATCGAATTTGAATTTTCATATTGTAATCCCTGGACAGGGATTACAAGAACCCCTGGACAGTTAAGTCCACTCAAAGGCGACTATGGGGTTACGGCGCTCATCTCGCTTTCACGTTGCGGGAGCCACCATTTATCCACAGACAGTTTTCCGGGTCATGTGGCCAGCAGGACTAAACCACTTCTGGTGTGACAGAATCTAAAGCGCCCGGAAACACCGTTTACCTTCCTGCCACAGCAGTACCCATTTATCTACTTGCACTGGCATGCTTTCAAACTGCTCGTCCAACCCACATTTTACCAGTTTCTCTGCTAGTCTATCACAGGGGACTTGGTCAAAAGCCTTACCTTCTCCCTGCAGCTGTTGGCTACTGTGTACCCTAATCCCTCGTGATTTGTCCTTCCGTTCATTTCGTATACATGCCCTTCTTAAATCTCAGCTCACCTGTAAGCTGCTTATGCAGCCACACAAGTTTATTTAGATGCCTCCTACTCTTCTTTCTTGTTGGATTTGTCTGCCTTTGTACCTTCAATATTTCACCTTTCAGAAATTCCCATCCATCTTGGACTCCCTTCTCTTTTAAGTATTTCTGACCCTGGGATCTCACTCAGTAACTCCCTAAGCTTTATGAAATTGGTCTTCTTAAAGTCTGACTATACTCTGCTTTCCCTTCCTTCTAGATCATGAAACCCAGGAGGACAAGATCACATCCTCCCAAGTTTCCCAGTATTTTAACTTGGTCAATCAGTTGCGTCGTGTTAAGGACCAGAACCAAAAGAGCAGGCAGCTGCCTCATACTTTGAGGAGCCGTGTGGACGTTTTATTGCTTATTCACCCAAGGCTCACAGATGGACCTACCAATGATAGTGACTTACTTGGACCCTAACACACATTGTAACAGAGCTCAGTCTCCTGCCTATCCAGTGTTGGAAACAGATATGGAAGCTAGGAGCTCAATGGCACCTTAGACCTAGGCTATGGGCACAACAGAATGTCTAGGCACACTTTTTTAAATAACAAAAATAGAATATTACGTCCGTTTATCACAGTCTATTGCTTCTCCTGCTCACCTCCCTAATATTAAGCGGGTCTCTTCTCCAATCTTCATGTGGGGAGGCAGAAAAAGGTCCTCCTTTCCTTCCACTCTGCAGTTTTAATCTGAAATCTTAGGCGAAGTATTGAACCCAGAGCTCAGAAACTGCTTGCGCTAATGAAATTCCCTGTCACAATGGGAGCTTCGAACACTGTGCTATCCCATATCAAAACTACCACCAAGGCCAACCTGCATCCTAAACGGCTCACCATACTCCACCCACAAATTCATTACAAGCCCTCAATATTATGCCCATGTACTTCATCAGGACCCTTCCTTTATTGGGCTGTTTCTCCAATGTCACTCCACCAAGTGCCAAAAATCCTGCTGGCCAGGTTGACTCATTTTTCCATTTTGCATTCTCATTTTGTATTTCTTATGTTGTGAGCTGCCCTTGATCTTTGAAGGAAGGGTGGCATACAAATTTAATAAATAAATTTCTATACATCTTTTTCTACCTTCTCATTCATATTCCCTCTGATTTTATTCATTTGTTCTGCTTCTCTAAATATAGAGAGCACCTATTAGTAAATATAGATTAAAAATCTCTCTCTGTGTGTGTGTGTGTGTGTGTTTGCACGCTTGCTTGCTTAAAAGTATTGCAATCTGCTTTTAGTTATTTTGTTAAGAAAGTGACGAATACATTTAATAAAAAGAAAGGAGAAACACATCCACAAACTCCCCTTTTCATATTTGCTCATTGGTGGCAGGCAATCAAGGATATCCAGGCCAACTTGAGGCCTCCCCGTATGAGATACCTTTCATAACTGCGTCCACCTTCTTACCTGACTGCACCCAGTTGACTGTCAGTCTGGGCGGCTACACAAAGTTCTCCTCACACATCTCCTGGCTGCACCAGTAACATCTCTTCAGTCAGCTCTGTCCCATCCTTTGGTTTTGTTGTTGTTTAGTCGTGTCCGACTCTTCGTGACCCATCCTTTGGTACCTCCCCCTAAATTGGTTGTGGCAATGGCCAAATTTGCATAACCCCTTCAACCCCACAACAGGAGCCCTGTGGTGAAACCCAGCCAGCCCCACCACTGTGAAGGTAAGATTCTCACCTGCAGAGATCTCCGCTGGAAGATTCTGCTTCGGAGGTCTTGCATCTTCCTTCTTCTTAAGCCATGGCACAGTGAACAAGGTCGAGGGAGTTAAGTCCCCTTTGCTACCTGAAGCCTCCGATCTTTCCACGCATGCTGCAATATCAAGCAAAGGTGGTTTAGTAGCCATTCTTCTTGATTGGGAAGGCTCACCATACTCCACACACAGATTCATTATAAGCCCTCAATATTATGCCCATGTACTTCATCAGGACTCTTCCTTTATTGGGCTGTTTCTCCAATGTCGCTCCAGCAGGTGCCAAAAATCCTGCTGGCCAAGTTGACTCATTTTTCTATTTTGCATTCTCATTTTGCATTCTGAAGGAAGGGTGGCATACAAATTTAATAAATAAATTTCTATACATCTTTTTCTATCTTCTCATTCATATTCCCTCTGATTTTGTTAATTTGTTCTGCTTCTCTAAATATAGAGAGCACCTATAAGTAAATATAGATTTAAAATGTCTCTCTCTCTGTGTTTGTGTGTGTGTGTGTGTGTGTGTGTCAGCTCTTCAGTCAGCTCTGTCCCATCCTTTGGTACCGCCCCCTAAACTGGCTGTGGCAATGGCCAAATTTGCGTAACCCCTTCAACCCCACAACAGGAGCCCCGTGGTGAAACCCAGCTCCAAGCCAGCCAGCCCCACCACTGTGAAGGTAGGTGCCAGATTCTCACCTGAAGATATCTCCGCTGGAAGATTCTGCTTCGGAGGTCTTGCATCTTCCTTCTGAAGCCATGGCACGGTGAACAAGCTCGGGGTGAACAAGTCCCCTTTACTACCTGAAGCCTCCGATCTTTCCACGCAGGCTGAAATATCAAGCAAAGGTGGTTTAGTAGCCATTCTACTAGATTTGGAAGGTTTCTTGCGCGCTACCCACTCCGTGACCTCCAGCGGACCTCATGTCTGGGCCTCCCTCCTCTTTGGAAGAAGAATCCTGAGGCTGTTTGGTGGGCTGCTTTTGAGCTTGGTTTCCTTGCCTCCTGCTCCCTTCTCAAGATGCCATCGCAAACCCTCTACTATGCAAGTAACTGCAGGAGGGGGCATAAAGGTAAAGGTACCCCTGCCCATACGGGCCAGTCTTGCCAGACTCTAGGGTTGTGCGCTCATCTCACTCTAGAGGCCGGGAGCCAGCGCTGTCCGCAGACACTTCCAGGTCACGTGGCCAGCGTGACAAGCTGCATCTGGCGAGCCAGCGCAGCACACGGAAACGCCGTTTACCTTCCCGCTGGTAAGCGGTCCCCATTTATCTACTTGCACCCGGGGGTGCTTTCGAACTGCTAGGTTGGCAGGCGCTGGGACCGAGCAGTGGGAGCGCACCCCGCCGCGGGGATTCGAAGGGAAGGGGCATACACAGATCCTAATCCGACCCACAAACAAACTGGATAATTACACATTAACCTGAGGCCTTTTGCATGAAGAGCAGGTGCCCTCTTACATTTTAATTTTATGTCAGGGGTTTGTACGCAGGTACCTAGCTGTTCCAAGAATTCCTACATTACAGTCCTGGCCCTAAACCTGGGTAGCTAATTTCTGGCACTCCAGAGGTTGCTGGACTTCAAGTCCCAACAGCCCTGGCCAGCAAGGCTAAGAAGCGAGGATGATGGGAGTTGCAATTGAGCATCATCAGGGGAGGCCAGCTTAGCCAGCCACCCTCCCTGCCCAAATATCTTAGGTCACCAATAGTCAAGAAATCTGCTCTTTTCCTTTCAGAACGGAACCCTTGTGCTCCCAAAATCTGTGCCACCTGAATTCAAGTCCCTACAGCAGTTGCATACAGATCTCCACAGCAGCCTGCTGGATTCGCTGTGCCTTTCGCTGCTCCTTTTATGGCTGACGTAGGAAATCTCCAGCCAACAAGCTTAATTCTGTCCCAGCACAGGCCTCAGTTTGACCTGTGACACTGTTTTCCCCAAGTCTCACCCACCAACCTCACACCTGAAGTCCCATGCCATGGAGTGGCAGATCACCTGCTTTGTGTGCAGAAGTTCCCAGGTTCAATCCCCAGCAGCATCTCCAGATAATAATAATAATAATAATAATCATAAGAATAATAATAATAATATTTATATATAGTGGTACCTCGGGTTACATACGCTTCAGGTTACAGACTCCACTAACCCAGAAATAGTACCTCGGGTTAAGAACTTTGTTTCAGGATGAGAACAGAAATCGTGCTCTGGCATCGTGTTGGCAGCAGGAAGCCCCATTAGCTAAAGTGGTGCTTCAGGTTAAGAACGGACCTCCGGAACGAATTAAGTACTTAACCCAAGGTACCACTGTACTGCCTTTTAACAAGTGATATCAGGATGGTTCACAAGGTAAAAGAACAAATAAGTAATTAAAACAAAAACAACGAAACAACAATTTATTTATTCTACCCTGCCCATCTGACTGGGTTGCCCCAGCCACTCAGTGCAGCTTCAACAAAAATACAGTGTCAAACATTAAAAGCTTCCCGATACAGGGCTGCCTTGTGAACTCCTCTCTCTTTGACAAGCGACAGGAAGGTGTTCCACAGGGCAGGCACCACTACCGGGAAGTCCCTCTCCCTGTTTCCCTGTAACTTCACTTCCAGCAATGAGTGGACTGCCAGAAGGCCCTCGGAGCTGGACCTCAGTGTCCAGGCCGAGCAACAGGGGTGAAGCCACTCCTTCAGGTATACAGAGCTGAGGCCATAGGGCTGACGGCATTCCATGCCTGAAACCCTGGAGAGCTTCTGCCAGTCAATGAGGCAATATTACGCTAAATGGACCAGTGGTCTGACTCAGGATGATGAAGCTTCCAACACCAAAAGGTCCCGGGTTCAGTTCCCAGCATCTCCAAAAAGGGCTGGGAGAGACTCCCTGCCTGAAGCCACCAGTCCGTGCAGACCATTTTTTCTCAAACTTGAATTCCCAGCTGCCATTGGACTACAACCCCCACCATCCCTGATCACTGGTGCTGCTAGCTATGGATGATGGGAGTTGTAGTCCAACAACAGTTGGGAATTCAAGTTTAAGGAATAATGGTATAGAAAATACTGAGCTCAGGTGGATCCAACATTGCCAACAGTTGAGCTCTATGCCTTTCTGTGTGCCCAAGTTATTCTTGCCCAGCTGCAGGAGGATAACATCTGGAGGCACCAGCCGCTCCCAAATCATGCATGTTCTCCTAACCCAGCCGCACGACGTGCAGCCTGTGACCCAGCCCAAGGTGGGATTCTCTCCCGGACACCAGCATGCGCTTTCTTGCACAGCACACAACTGTGTCCGGAAAACCTTACGTGCAGGGGCTGCAACTAAACAGAAACAAAGTCAACGTGATGCCACCACGTACCCCTTTGTGTGCAGTCTATATAGCTCAGTTGGTAGGCCATGAGGCTCTTGATCTCTGGTGCATTTACAATCCTCTTCAACAGGGGTCAGCAAACCTTTCCAGCAGTGGGCCATTCCACCGTCCCTCAGACCATGTGGTGGGCCGGACTATATTTTGAGGGGGGGGGGGGAGACAGAATTCCTATGCCCCACAAATAACCCAGAGATGCATTTTAAATAAAAGGACACATTCTTCTCATGTAAAAACACGCTGATTCCCAGACCATCCGAGGGCTGGATTGAGAAGGCGATTGGGCTTCAACCGGCCCCTGGGCCTTTGGTTGCCTACCCCTGCTCTTCAATCACCCAGACTGGTGACCTGCAAGCAAATCTGACTCCCCTCATGACCAAGCAGTGTTGGACTATGTCAAGAATAGAAGATCCTGGTGCCATCCAGGTGCTGTGAATGGAATCATAGAATTGTAGAAGTCCCCAAGAATTCTCTAGTCCAACCCCTGCAATGCAGGACTCCCAGCTCCCATCATCCCTGACCCTTAGCAAAATATCTAGATTTGATACTATCCACAAACTATCTGCTAAAGAGCACTAAAGGATTAGAAATTCTCGCAAGCCTTTCCGTACTCAGTTACCATACTCGGAACACATGTAGCTTCCTGTTCAGCAAAACCTCAAACCACAATATAAGCAACATGTGCTCTGACACAACCCTGATCTGACTTCATTGCTTCCGTTTCCTTGAGAATCACTTGCTTCTCCATCAAGCTTTATTTGAATCACAAGAGATCCATCCACAGCAATGAGAACACCTAAACAGCAATGCACCAGCTCTCCTGGCACAGCTCTTGAAGCCTTAACTAGCATTTTTCCTCACTGGCCCAAGAGCCAGCGTAGTAAAGTGGTGAGAGTGCTGGACTAGGGCCAGGGAGACCCGAGTTCAAATCCCCACTCAGCTTTAAACTCAGTGGGTGATGTTGAAGAAGAAGAAGAGTCTCAAAGCGGCCAACATTCTCCTTTCCCTTCCTCTCCCACAACAAACACTCTGTGAGGTGAGTGGGGCTGAGAGACTTCAGAGAAGTATGACTGGCCGAAGGTCACCCAGCAGCTGCATGTGGAGGAGCGGGGAATCAAACCCGGTTCACCAGATTACGAGTCCACTGCTCTTAACCACTACACCACACTGGCTCTCAGGGTTGTTGTGGGGTGAAATGAGGAGCAGGAGAACCATGTATGCCGCCTTGAGCTCACTGGAGGATAGAAATGTAGCCGCAAATCAGTAAAATCACATACCATTGTGTATCCGGTATGCCACAAAAGGAACCAGTCGACCAGACCAACAGATTGCAGAAAAGATCCCTGCAGCCTAGAAGCAACAGCACAGGTGTGTTCACCACTACCAGAGAAGCCGGCTGGATCTCAGGGCAGTCCTGAACCTGAGCAGGGACTGTGCATTATATCACCAATGCAAGTCTTGACGGATATCTCCAACACAGAACAACCTCCCTCTACAGCCAGACCCACCCTCAGCCCCCTTCCCGACAACTCCTCACCTGAGCAAGGAGGAACGACTCCTGGCACCACTTCCTGACTGCTCTCCTGCTTCTTTTCTTCGCTTCCTGCAGGAATACTTAACTGGGGGCTTGGGCCAGCCACACTTGGGCTTTCCCGCACACTTGAGGCCTCCTTGGAGGCTAAGGCAGCTTGTACCACCTGGGTTGCAACCAGCTGCATCATGGAGACAAGGGATGCTGGATTGATCTGCACAACAGGGGGCAAGCTTGTTCCTTGGGTGAGTCCAGCACCCACTGCGCCTCCAGGCTGCAGCAGCGACAGGGCCTGCAAGACACTTTGTTCTACAAGAGGCGTCAACGACAAACGCAACTGATCTTCATGTTGGCGGTCTCCTTGTTCCTGTGTTGCTGCCTCCTTCTTGGGAAGCTCCTGATGGCCAGGGTTTGTCTGCAGCGGATGGTCTGACTTGCTGGGTGGTTGTTCTGCCACATCAGATTTGGCTGGAGGTTGCTGATCTCCTTGTTCCCGCATTGTGGCCTCCTTCTTGGGCGGCTCCTGGTGGCCAGGGTTTGTCTGCAGCGGATGGTCTGACTTGCTGGGTGGTTGTTCTGCCACATCAGATTTGGCTGGAGGTTGCCGGTCTCCTTGCTCCTGCGTTGCTGCCTCCATCTTGGGCAGCTCCTGATGGTCGGGATTTGTCTGCAGCGGATGGTCTGTCTTGCTGGGTGGTTGTTCTGCCACATCAGATTTGGCTGGAGGTTGCCGGTCTCCTTGCTCCTGCGTTGCTGCCTCCATCTTGGGCAGCTCCTGATGGTCGGGATTTGTCTGCAGTGGCTGGTCAGACTTGTTGGGTGGTTGTTCTGCCACATCAGATTTGGATGGAGGTTTTGCCACATTAGATTTGGCTGGTCTCCTTTTTCCTTGTTTCCTTGTCCTGGTCTTCTTCCTGGTCTCCTTTTGCTGGTCTCCTTGCTCCTGCGTTGCTGCCTCCATCTTGGGCAGCTCCTGGTGGCTGAGATTTGTCTGTGGTGGATGGTGTGACTTGGGTGTGAGTTCTGCCACATCAGATTTGCCTGGAGGTTGCTGGTCTCCTTGCTCCTGCGTTCCTGCCTCCATCTTGGGCAGCTCCTGGTGGCCGGGATTTGTCTGCAGTGGCTGGTCTGACTTGTTGGGTGGTTGTTCTGCCACATCAGATTTGGATGGAGGTTGCCGGTCTACTTGCTCCTGCGTTGCTGCCTCCATCTTGGGCGGCTCCTGATGGTCGGGATTTGTCTGCAGTGGCTGGTCAGACTTGTTGGGTGGTTGTTCTGCCACATCAGATTTGGATGGAGGTTGCCGGTCTCCTTCCTCCTGCGTTGCTGCCTCCATCTTGGGCAGCTCCTGATGGTCGGGATTTGTCTGCAGTGGATGGTCTGACTTCTTGGGTGGTTGTTCTGCCACATCAGATTTGGATGGAGGTTGCCGGTCTCCTTCCTCCTGCGTTGCTGCCTCCATCTTGGGCAGCTCCTGATGGTCGGGATTTGTCTGCAGTGGCTGGTCAGACTTGTTGGGTGGTTGTTCTGCCACATCAGATTTGGATGGAGGTTTTGCCACATTAGGTTTGGCTGGTCTCCTTTTTCCTTGTTTCCTTGTCCTGGTCTTCTTCCCGGTCTCCTTTTGCTGGTCTCCTTGTTCCTGCGTTGCTGCCTCCATCTTGGGCAGCTCCTGATGGCTGAGATTTGTCTGTGGTGGATGGTCTGACTTGGGTGTGAGTTCTGCCACATCAGATTTGCCTGGAGGTTGCTGGTCTCCTTGCTCCTGCGTTGCTGACTCCATCTTGGGCAGCTCCTGGTGGCCGGGATTTGTCTGCAGTGGCTGGTCTGACTTGTTGGGTGGTTGTTCTGCCTCATCAGATTTGGCTGGAGGTTGCCGGTCTGCTTGTTCCTCCATTGCTGCTTCCTTCTTGGGCAGCTCCTGATGGTCAGGATTTGTCTGCAGTGGATGCTCCGACTTGTTGGGTGGTTGTTCTGCCGCATCAGATTTGGCTGGAGGTTGCCTGGAGCTTCCTGCTTCTGCAGACGACGCTAAAGAGGGGGAGAAAAAGCAAGTGGCTCATTATTATTATGATTATTATTAGCAGTAGTATTGATTAAATTGGTATACCACCCTCCATCCATACATCTCAGGGCAGTTCACAGCATAAAAATACAAGATTTAAAAACCCAAAAGATACAAAATGGAACCAATACCCCCCCACCGCAGTTCATCAACGCTCTATTGCAACAACTTCAGGTCTACCTTTGGCAACAATACTGCAGGGAAGCAGCAGAATATCTCCCCTGATCCTTGGTCACTGCTATATTTGCAACAAGGTTCTACCCTGCATAGCATGAATGCAAGAAGATCATTGTACTAAGCAACTGTAAAAAATACCAACTGGGTGGGGGAAACTCCAGAGGAGTGAAATGGCTGAGATCAACCAACATCCCCTTTTGAAATGAGTTGCAGAGTCACTCACACAATCCAATATAGGAACAGGCTTGGTCTCCTTGGCAGGCATTATAATTACACAATGACAAAGCCAGGAGAAAAACCCCAGAACAGAACAAACTATTCACTGAGCCAAAGCCACTGCAACACGCCTGCCATTATCACACTCATAATCCTGCTTACAAAAAACCCAAGGCCAGTTTCTGAAGCATCTGTAACATCCACCTTACCTGGAGATCTAGTTGATTTTCTCAGTTCTCTCTTCTGGCTAAAAGAGCTTTGAGAACTCGAGCTGGGGGAGCTTGGTCGCTCTGAAGACCTGGACCTACACCTGGGGCTCCTAGATCGTGACCGTTTGCTGTGGGATCCAGGGCTCCTAGATCGTGACCGAGTCTGACTCGAGGCATGGCCAGGAATTGAGTGCTGTGAAGTGTTTGGGTTAGAACTGGTAGAGCATGGCATTGGAATATGTTTTTCCTTCTTGTCGCCTTCATGTCTGCAAAAGGCAGAAAAAACAGGATTGGAATGACTTCTCTTTTTCAAATGTAAAAGGAGAAATCAGATCTGCCAAGATGTTATTTTTGCAAATGGAAATCAACTAGAAGTAGGAACTCTCAGGGTTAAAGCTAAAAGCATCAAAAGTCTACAGAATACGGCTGATGGGCCTGCAGCATCCAATGACTAAAGGAACTCAGATGCTGGCAACAGAATGCCCAGCTTCATACCAGAAAATTATGGCTGCCACCTGCACTGGCAATAGCTACCTGCCTGCTAGTGGCTTAGCTGCAGTGCAACCCACAGCTGCTCAGCCAGCTGGCCCCTGGAGCCTTAGAACGAAGACACGAGGGCCTGCAGTCTAGCAGCTCCTACATGTACGGGGTCAGTGACAACTGGTAACCTGGGGTGGAAAATATTATCTGGGGGGGGGGGGGTTGGTTACTTTTTCTGCAGAAGTGTTCTTTGTTACATGGTTCCTAAGAAGGAATGAACGGGGGCCAACTGCAGATACTTGCAGTTTTCACTTTTGAGTTTTCTCTATTAAATACAATGAAAGACCAGAATTAGATCACAGATCCCTTTCTTGGGCATCAGAAAATGTCCCAGTGCAGAATGCCCAGATGCAAATTTCCCATTCAAAATGTCTCCAAAAACCCACACAATCGGGGACAACAGGGAAATGAGATTGATGCAGCCTAATTCTCATTACTGAGTATTCATGTTGAGATTAGAAGGTTACCTCTGTAACGAAGAGAATTCTTCTGGATTCCAGTCAGGATACCTGTTTCAAGAAAAGCCAGCAAAACAGCTGTGTTATTCATTTGACACAGTACATGTACTCCATTCCATTATCATTCAGGCACATTTCTAAAACTGTCAATTATTTCTCTCTCTTTTGTCCAAATTATTGATTTCTTACTACTGATCTTCTGGGGAAGTTTAAAGGTGATTCCATGAGGATTCCCTGGCTTTTTGATCCAGTATTCCAAAAGGTCCTTGGCATGAGATTCAGGTCCCAGCTCCTCCAAGAACTGGTTTGTCCTGAAGCCACCCCTCATAAAACTCTGCTCATGCTCCACAGGCATCTAAAAGCCTCTGAATGCAAGATGAGATGCCTCTGAGCTTCTGCCTTCTTCCCTGGTTCAGCTCCATAATCGGCCTACAGACCACTTATACAAATTCAAGCAAAACACAACCTAGAGCAGGCACCATTCCTTCAAAGGTGAACTCCCACAACTTCCTTGGCTGAGGTTTGTGGCAAGGCATGTAAGCAATGGCTCTGCTGCTTTTAGCAAAGCCCTGAGCTATCCAGGAAGTCATTTTCAAACCATTTCAAATCCTCAATCTATTCCCAATAAATTAAAATGAAAGGCCTTACTGTTGGCGTAGCTCTTCACATTTCTCGGAGTGTGCAGCAGTGCGCACATGCAGATTCCAGCCCTACAGGAGGGAGGGGAGAAATCAGCATGAGAACACAAAAAGCCTGGCTGCTAGATGAGAACAAAGCGTCACCTAGTCCAGCATCCCGTCTCCTGCAGCCGTCAGCCAGATGCTTCTGAGAAACCCACAGAAGGGCCCTCCTCTGCTGCTGAGCAGCAACTATTTAAAAAACAACAACAACATAACAGTATATACATAAAACACTAAGTTCCACTTAGTGATATGCCCAATACCCATTGATGGGGCTTCTGTCTATAAAACTGCATAATCTCGTCATTTAAGGTCATGAGAGTCCTACCAGACACTTACAACCAAGTGGAGATGCCTGGGTGCCAGGATGGCACCTGACGTCTACACAACCTGGAGGTACATGCCTGGGGATCCTTGGATCGTGATTGTTCTTAATCTGGCTCAAGGTTGTCTCTTGAACTAGCCGGATGTTTAACTGAGAATCAATCACAGTCAGTCCATCATTTGAAAAATAAGACTTTAGATCCATCTGGCCCCCAAATGGCAACTAGACATTCCATTTTGGCAACTGACACCTTGGTTTAAGGAGCCATTTGTCACCTAGCTTATATATCTGAGTTTCTACAGCAGAGTAGAAACACACTCACTTGACCTTCAATCCTGTGTATGAGTTTAACACTGGACAATGTTCAATACTGTGCAATGCATTTAATATTAAAATAGACAACAGCAGCTCAAAGTTAGATAAGACAAGAGTCTCCAGACATGGTGTCAGGTTTGAATCCCACCGATGTCAAATGGACTTTCTGGATGTGGGGATTTATGATGCCCTGAGGTGGCAGAGATGTCTCCTTGGGGATTAGGGGAGGGGAGATATGCTGCAGTGATGCTGTCCAACAACATTTGGAAGCCACCATGTTGACTTCCTCAGGATAACATCACTCCTCATAGCATAAGATCTGCTTGAAAGCCAGAGTGGAAAATGCACTCATCCTGGGCTCAATACAACTGTGTGCCCTTTTTTTTCCTGCAAAAACAAAGAACTCACCGTCATATCTGCACATTCTATTTTACACAGAGAACACACGTGTGGAAGTACTGTTGGCGACACAGCATGATAATCGTTCATCACTGACGGAGATGGAGATCCTGAAGACTGAGGCATAAATGAAGCCGCAGGTGTTGTTGCGGGTTGAGCTGCTGACGGTACACCAGGTCCTGCTGAAGGAAGGCATGATTCTGTTATGCAACACAGATGGATGCCAACGAAATTCCAGGAGAGAGGGTGCCAAGGGCAAAGGCCACCTTGGAACTTGCTCCTACTGGATATCCCCTTCCCACCCCCCAAAATGATCATTTCGCATCAACTACTCTGCGCAGGGGACAGTAACCTGATCAGGCCAGCAGCCTATCTAGCCCAGCAGCCAGTTCTGTAGAGCTCACAAGCAAGAGCAGAGCTCAGCAGCAGTGCCCGCTTCTGCTTCCCAGCAATTAGTATATAGATGTGCCCATCCTCCAATCCTGGAGGTTGCATCCCTCATCATAACAAGCAACCATCATAACAAGCCTTACTCTCTGAATTTATCTAATCCACTTTTGAATTCATCCACATTGGTGGCTGTCACTGCATCATGTGGTAGAAAATGCCATAGTTTAACCCTGAAGTCTTCATGGGATTACTGGTTAGCCTGGTTTCTACACACTTACTGCCATATTCATAACTGGACTTACTTTTCATCAGGGAATCAGATCCACCCTGTCCGCCAGAGGATTCTTCTTCTTTGCCCTGAGATGAAGTGGGCAACTGACGAGCCTTCTTGCGCTCAACGATGTCCCTCAGAATCATAGCCATGTTTTCAGGCTTCAGCTGATCATCTGAATAGTGGCCAAATTCCTCCAAATCTTTAGCAGATAAGCCAAAGTTTGAGAGAATTCTTGCAGCACTCACTTCTGTGTAATGCCTCTGAGTATCTGCAGCATTTTCTGAAGTGGGCTGATCTGAGCTACAATTACCAGGTGGCAATGGATCATTCTCCTGACTGTTAGTCCCACATCCTTCCATCCCAGAAGACGACTTTCCTGGCCCTCCAAAAGTCCTACACTGCCTTTGGTCAGGTGCATTAGAAGAAGACATGCTCTCTTTAGGATCACACATATTAGGACAGGGGCCGCTCATATTTGGCTGCGTATATTTTCTGCGTTTCTTTCTGGGTTGCCATGTGTCATCTGGACAAGGACCTCCGGTCCATGGGGTCATATCTCCTTCGGGTCCCCATGTGTCATCTGAGCAAGGATCTCCCATCCACGGGGGCATATCTCCTCCGGGTCCCCACGTGCCATCTGGACAAGGACCTCCGGTCCATGGGGTCATATCTCCTTCAGGTCCCCATGTGTCATCTGGACAAGGACCTCCCATCCACGGGGGCATATCTCCTCCGGGTCCCCACGTGTCATCTGGACAAGGACCTCCCATCCATGGGGGCATATTTCCTCTGGGTCCCCACATGCCACCTGGGCAAGGACCTCTCATCCATGGGGGCATATTTCCTCTAGGTCCCCACCTGTAATCCCGGAAATACCCCTTCTGTTGGTTTTTCTTTTTTTTAGACTTGACCATGGCTAATTACACCTATGACAAATTTAAGGATGAAGTGTGGCAGAATGGTCAGAAGCAACAGGGTTCAACCACGGAGATCACTTGGTCTTACTGAACAAGCTGCAGAGGAGGACACTACAGAGGGAAATGCCAAATCTGCAGCAATTCACAGCAGACACCACCACCAAGCTGAAAGTAAAAACACAAAATGTAATCAGAAAGGAAGGAGGTGTGTGGAGGCTTTCCAGTGTATTGCACAGTGCGTCGCATGCATGACTGTTGGTCTGCTGTCCTTGAGGCCAGGGTGGCTGACCAAGAGAAATTGAGAGAGGCAGAGGGTGAGGGATGAGGCATTTGGGCATTTTACTACTGGGTTCTGAGGCCAGAATGATAGCTCCTCTGCTGTTGTGGACAATGAGGCTCCCCTAGAAGAACACCATGCTAAGGAAGAGGCAAGCAAACCCTTAGAAGGGGACCATTCCTTGGAGGATGTGCAGTTGTCCTCTTGTGCTGAAGATAGTCCTCCAGGGAGGGATGGAGGAATCCTAATAGCTGGTGGTCTGATAATTAGGAATACAAATCATGGTATTATACTAGGGTAGCTATCAATGTTGTGGGTGGTGACACAGCTTTGTGATGCTTTCAGTCCTACTTGGATGGCCATTTTCAGAAGGTAGAAGTATTGTTCAGCTCTATGAAGTCTCCAGTGCGTACTTATTAATACTATCATTATTTATTAAATTTCTATATTACCCTTTATCTGAGAATTACAGGGCAGTTGACAATAAAACAACAACAACAAAAAATTCCCCACACATAGTTTAAAAGGGCATCAGATGTCAATCAGCCAAAGGCTTAGCAGAAGAGGAATTTTTTTGGCTGGAGCCTAAAGTAAGGAAGCCACCAGGCAAGCCTCCCTGGGGACAGCATCCCAAAAGTAAGAGGCCTCTGCAGAAAAGACCCTGCTCTCGTGTTGCCACCCTCCAGACCTCTTAAGGAGGACGGCCTTTAGATGTCTTCTAAAAGTCAGATAGTTGTTTACTTCCTTAACAACTGACAGGAGGTTGTCCCCCAGGGTAGGTGCAACTGCCAAGGCAGACATCCAAGGGTAGCCCTGTTTTTGATGGTTGAGGTCATCTTGTATAGGAGCCCCCCCCCCCCGAGTCTCTGGGGGAAGCCCGACATATTATTATTCTTACCACAAGGCCTCGTTCCTGGTCCATCACTGCCAGCTCAGCCCCCCCCCCCGGAAAAGATGTGAAGCTAAGGGATATTTTTGCCCTGACATACATCACATTATTTTATCTTATTTATAGCATTTGTTACTCAGCTGTTCAACCAAAAAGACTGCCAGAGTGGCTTGCATGTAATTACCAGAACAAAGCAAACCACTACCTTCAGGCTTCCAAACTAAGAACAAGAAGTATGAAACACAAGGGAAGAGCTTCACACTTAGAACTGGCCTTCATATATTTGCAATCAAAATTATTCAACCCCCATTGCAAACTGGGTTTATTATCAAAATTTACAATTTATAAGCTGCAATTTCAGCTGAATTTAAGGAAGCCACTTCAAGCATCCCTTCCGATGAGTCATTTCTATTGCTTTTGTTTGATTTGCTCATGGCAAACAACTGAAAGTCTGCAAATGTTGATAATAGGCCCAATTTGCCTTGGGGGTTGAATAATTTTGATTGCAACTATCTCACCAGTCTCCTCTTCTCCAGACTGAACATACCCAGCTCCCTTCTCAGGATTGGTTTCCAGACCCTTGGTCATCTGGGTTGCTCTTTTCTGCACACAATCCAACTTGTTGGTCACATTCTTAAACTGTGGTGCCCAGAACTGAACATAGGACTCCAAGCGTGGTCAGACCAAGGCAGAAACATGCCCTCCAACCTTTCCCTAATGAAAATAGGGATGTCCTATTCCATAATGATAATTTTACTCTTTATACCCCACCCATCTGGCTGGGTTTCCCCAGCCACTCTGGGCAGCTTCCAACATATAGAAAATATAATAAAAAACCATTAACTTCCCTCTACAGGATTGCTTTCCGACAGCTCTGGGGTCAGGTAACTCCATACCCTCCAACATTTCTCCCATGAAAACAGGGACATCCTAAGGGGAAATGGGACATTCCGGGATCGTATCAGAAACTAGGACGCCTTCTGTAAATCCGGAACTGTCCCTGGAAAACAGGGATACTTGGAGGATCTGTAGTAGTGGTAGTAACAACAACAAAACAATAATAGCAATAAAGCAGCCCTGTTTAGGGAAGCTCTTAATATTTGATGAATTACTGTACAGTATTTTAATATTTTGTTAGAATCCGCCCAGAGTGGTGGGGAAACCCAGCCAGGTGTGCGGGGTATGTATGTATAAGTAAACATATAAATAAATAAATAAAAATTATTATTATTACTACTACTACTACTACTATTATTATTATAACAACAGCTCCCCCCCTCCCCTCCCCCCAGGGGAGCCACCATTCGGGTTTCTGCCTGGCAACTGGAAAGGCCTACCCGGGGGCAACCAATCAGGGTCCGCTCTTTCCCTCCCTGAGGACTAGAAGCCCCGCCGGCAGAGGACGAAGAGTTCTCCCGCCGAGGAAGACGGACGCCTCGGAGCCAAGGCGGCGAGCAGCGGAAGGAGAACGAGGCCTCTTCAGGCGCGGACCTTCCCTCCCCGGCCGCCCTCCTCCCCGGCCGCCATCTTGCGCCGCTTACCTCAGCCGAGGCCTCTTTCAGCCGCCGCCGCAACCGCCCTGGGAGCGCCACGCGCAGGCGCGGAGAGGGGTGTACTGCGCGTGCGCGGCGGGCCCCTGGCTGCGGATTGGCTAGTGGGCAGAGGGGGCGAGGCCGAACAAATGCGCTCGCGCTCGCTCGGTCTCTCTCAGGCCCATCTGGAGAAGGGCGCATGCGCGGCGGGCCCCTGGCTGCGGATTGGCCAGCGGGCAGAGGGGGCGGGGCCGAACGAATGCGCGCGCGCGCTCTCTCTCTCTCTCTCTCACAGGCCCATCTGGAGAAGGGCGCATGCGCGGTCCGCGTCTCCCTTCCTGCGCGTGCGCTCTCGGCGCCGCCCCCCCCCCGCTTGCTGACTGGTGGAGCCTCCATAGCCAGAGGCAGTCTACCCCCGGCGGCCGGATGGCGGCGTCTGTGGGAAAGGGCGGCCGCTTGATTCGGCAGGGCTCTTCCTTACCTCACGTACGAGAGGCTGTTGGCGGCCATGGGGTATTCGAGGGTTGGTGGGTTTGGGACCTGGAAGAGACCTGGGTTCGAATCCCGCCGCACTCGGCCAGCCACTGCCCCTCAGCCCAAGCTACCTCACCAGGGTTGTTGTGGGGATAAAAAGGAGGAGGAGGAGACTTACACACACCACCTTCGTGGGAATTAGTACTGGTTTGTTTATTAAATTTATATACAGTACTGCCCTTTATCCGAGGGCCACAAGGTGGTTTACAGACGAAAGCTGGGATATAGGCAAAAGGAATGAATGAAAGATGTATGCAGCTCCTAAGCTGGGATAAAATTAAAGCTAGGATAAATTAAAAGGCGCCCTCTTCTTGGAAGAAAAGCGATGACAAACCTAGACAGCATCTTCAAAAGGAGAGACATCACCTTGCCAACAAAGGTCCATATAGTTAAATCTATGGTTTTCCCAGTAGTGATGTATGGAAGTGAAAGCTGGACCATAAAGAAGGCTGATCGCCGAAGAATGGATGGTTTTGAATTATGGTGCTGGAGGAGACTCTTGAGAGTCCCATGGACTGCAAGAAGATCAAACCTATCCATTCTGAAGGAAATCAGCCCTGAGTGCTCACTGGAAGGGCAGATCCTGAAGCTGAGGCTCCAAGACTTTGGCCACCTCATGAGAAGAGAAGACTCCCTGGAAAAGACCCTGATGTTGGGAAAGATGGAGGGCAGAAGGAGAAGGGGAAGACAGAGGACGAGGTGGTTGGACAGTGTTCTCGAAGCTACCAGCATGAGTTTGACCAAACTGCAGGGAGGCAGTGGAAGACAGGAGTGCCTGGCGTGCTCTGGTCCAGGGGGTCACAAAGAGGCGGACATGACTAAACGACTCAACAACAACAACAAATCTAGGATAGCCAAGCACAACCTCCAGCTCCAGAGGCAGTCTACCTCAATGTTACCAAGACCAGCTGCTGAGCAGGAGAGGACTAGGAAGCTGTTGGACTCTCCATCCTTGGAGGTTTTCAAGCAAGAGGTTGGATGGCCATCTGTCAGGGATGCTTTAGTTGAGATTTCTGCATGGAAGTGGGGTTGGACTAGATGGCCCTTGGGATCCCTTCCAGTGCTGCTACAATTCTGTGCAATTAACACCCTTATTGGGGTTTCCTACACCTGCAGCGAATGTTTTAAATCCCTGCTTACTGTGGCTGATAGGAGTTGTCTTTCAGCAACATCTGGAGGGTAAAATTCTCCCCACCTGCACCAGGGAAAGCTCTTTAACAGAGACAGCAGAGGGATCCATTTCACAAACCACTGTCTGTTTGGCACCACCTTCAGCTTTCAGAAACAAAGGAAGCCATAAACTTGAGAGCCAGCAGCTAGCTTCAGGCAGCAATACCAGAGAATTGCTGTTACTATTATATATATTTATATCCCTTCTTTTTACCCATTGCAGGGATTCTAGGCAGCTTACAGTTAAAACAAGAGCTGAAAACATAGGGGGGGGGAAACAAACATTAATGGAATTGTGTGTGTGAAATTTATTTTTAAAATTAAATATATTAGTCATTGTCATAATAATAATAATTCATTACTTGTACCCCACCCATCTGACTGGGTTGCCACAGATTACAGTAGAAAGAGCGTGGCCTCAGCCCTTTCATTAAAAGCAGTCAGTTCCCAAAAGCTTGTTGGATCAAAAAGTTCTTAACCTGCCTGTCTAACCTCTTTAGGCAGGAAGTTCCAAAGTCTGGGAGTAGCCACCGAGAAGGCCCCCTCTTAATTAATTAACAAGATTTATAATATTCTATTTTACTGTCCTAGTGTCAGGCAATCATGCCTTACAACATGATCCAAAAAAACACCAAAGTCATTACACAACAAGTTGTTGTTTTTTTAATGACTTTCTTTGGAACTGCTTTACTTGTTTTGCCTGATTATGTTGTTGGTACCTGCCTGGAGAGCTTGTGGTGAAGAAAGATCTTAGGGTAAGAAATCCTATAAATAAAATCCAGCAACCACCACATTGTTTCCTATATCTGTTTGTTGATTCACTTTAATTTATGGCCTAGTGGTTTAAGAATTACGATTCATGACATTTATACATTACAGAATTTAAAAAAGAAAAGGTAAAGGTACCCCTGCCCGTACGGGCCAGTCTTGCTAGACTCTAGGGTTGTGCGCTCATTTCACTCTATAGGCCGGGGCCAGCGCAGTCCGCAGACACTTCCGGGTCACGTGGCCAGCGTGACAAGCTGCATCTGGCGAGCCAGCGCAGCACACGGAAACGCCGTTTACCTTCCCGCTATAAAGCGGTACCTATTTATCTACTTGCACTTTGACGTGCTTTCGAACTGCTAGGTTGGCAGGCGCTGGGACAGGAGCGCACCCCGCCGCGGGGATTTGAACCGCCGACCTGACGATCGGCAAGTCCAAGGCGCTGAGATTTTACCCACAGCGCCACCCGCGTCCCTATTACAGAATTTGCATTGAGCTATATGTAACCTGCCCCGGAAGCACATGCTAAGGGTGAGCTCCAAATGCCTGTAAATAAACCAACACAGGAACCTGCAGATAACGTAAAGGACTCAGCTATGTAGCTGCAAATGAAACGTTTTACGGTAAGTGTGTTGTAAAGTGCAACATGGGACGCGGGTGGCGCTGTGGTCTAAACCACAGAGCCTAGGGCTTTCAGATCAGGATGAGCTCCTGTTGCTTGGTCCCAGCTCCTGCCCACCCAGCAGTTTGAAAGCATTTCAAAGTGCAAGTAGATAAATAGGTACCACTCCGCTGCTCTGGTTCGCCAGAAGCGGCTTAGTCCTGCTGGCCACATGACTCGGAAACTGTCTGCAGACAATCGCCGGCTCCCTCAGCCAATAGATGAGTGTGCAACCCCAGACTGGACCTAACGGTCAGGGGTACCTTTACAGTGCAACATAAAAAATGACACTAGATGGCGAAAGTGAGCTATAGCAAAATTCAATGTATTTTTCAAAAAAAAAAATTTAATCAATTTCACAGCTTTTTTAAAATATATATGTAGATTCCACCTAAGTCAGCAAACAAGGAGCAGACAAAGGGGAGCCAAATGGGGACAGTGGGAGTGCAGGCATATTTCTGCCTGCAGAAGCATGTTGGGGGGGGGGGGAGAGCTAGACAGGTCCCCTGAGAAAGGGTATGGCAAAACCCTATGGCGGGCTCCCAGCAATCAAGTCTCCAATATTAGTGGGATTCTCGGGAAATGGGTGCTTTAGGTATCCCAGCCTTGGACTATTTATGGTCAGCACTTTGGTCCCAGAAAAATACGGCAGCCGAGACCAACATCCCTTGCAGCTCACCAGCTCACCAGTTTCCAAACACACCTCAAAAAGTGTGCAGCACATTAAAGTCATCCAACCTTGATGCAACTCCTATGTGGGGAACCTTTGGCCCTCCAGAGGTGTGGGATAAATCTGCCTCCTATAAGCAACATGCTTAACTCTAATGCACAAAGGGATTAAGGCCATAGG